TCCTGGTGGCCACAGGCCAAATCCAGGTGGCCACTGACCAAATCCAGGTAGCCACAAGCCAAATGCAGGTGGTCACAGACCAAATCCTGGTGGCCACAACCCAAATCCTGGTGGCCACAACCCAAATCCTGGTGGTCACAGACCAAATCCAGGTGGCCACAACCCAAATCCAGGTGGCCACTGACCAAATCCAGGTGGCCACAACCCAAATCCAGGTGGCCATTGACCAAATCCTGGTGGCCACAAGCCAAATCCAGGTGGCCATTGACCAAATCCTGGTGGCCACAACCCAACTCCAGGTGGCCATTGACCAAATCCAGGTAGCCACAACCCAAATCCAGGTGGCCACTGACCAAATCCAGGTAGCCACAACCCAACTCCAGGTAGCCACAAGACCAAATCCAGGTGGCCACTGACCAAATCCAGGTAGCCACAACCCAAATCCAGGTAGCCACAACCCAAATCCAGGTGGCCACTGACCCAATCCAAGTGGCCACAAGCCAACTCCAGGTGGCCATTGACCAAATCCAGGTGGCCACAACCCAAATCCAGGTGGCCATTGACCATCTCCTGGTGGCCACAACCCAAATCCAGGTGGCCATTGACCAAATCCTGGTGGCCACAACCCAAATCCAGGTGGCCACTGACCAAATCCAGGTGGCCACAACCCAAATTCAGGTGGCCACTGACCAAATCCAGGTGGCCACAACCCAACTCCTGGTGGCCACTGACCAAATCCAAGTGGCCACAACCCAACTCCAGGTGGCCATTGACCAAATCCTGGTGGCCACAAGCCAAATCCAGGTGGTCACAGACCAAATCCAGGTTGCCACAAGCCAACTCCTGGTGGCCACTGACCAAATCCAGGTAGCCACAAGCCAAATCCAGGTTGCCACAACCCAAATCCAGGTGGCCACTGACCAAATCCAGGTAGCCACTGACCAAATCCTGGTGGCCACAGGCCAAGTCGAGGTGGCCACTGACCAAATCCTGGTAGCCACAACCCAAATCTAGGTGGCCATTGACCAAATCCAGGTAGCCACAACCCAAATCCAGGTAGCCACAACCCAAATCCAGGTAGCCACAACCCAAATCCATCTAGCCACAACCGCTTTTTCCTCCACAGCCTCCAGCCCCTTCCTGATCTTCAACCGGCACCACTCCGGCTGCGTGGTGGCCACCGGCCCGTGGCTCTCGCTGGCCCCCTGCTCGNCAACCTTTCAACCTTCCCTCCACAGCCTCCAGCCCCTTCCTGATCTTCAACCGGCACCACTCCGGCTGCGTGGTGGCCACCGGCCCGTGGCTCTCACTGGCCCCCTGCTCGCCTGGCTCGCCCCGGCAGCTCTTCCAGTGGCTGCCGGGGGGTCTCCTGCGGCACGCGGCCAGCGGCCGCTGCGCGGGGGCCAGCGCCGAGGCCGCGGCCGCGCTGCTGCGCCTGGGCCCGTGCCGGGGCTCGCGGCTGCAGCGCTGGGCTTGCGGCCGCGGGGCCCTGCTGGCCCTGGCCGGCTCCCGCCTCTTCTTCAACGTGGGCCACGAGCGGCGCAACCGCGCCACGCTCCACGCCGGCGCCGGCAACTGGAGCCGCTGGCTGGCGCACGGCACGCGCCGCGACGTCTGCGCGCGGGCCAGTGAGTGCCGCCCGACGCTTGCCCCTGATTTGCCCAACATTTCCCTGAGTTCTCCCTGAATTTTCCCCAATTTTCCCCATTTTTTCCCTATTTTTCCCAAATTTTTCCCAATTTTCCCCTATTTTTCCCGTTTTTCCCCAATTTTCCCCCAATTTTCCTGAATTTTCCCCAATTTTTCCCAATTTTCCCGTTTTTCCCCAATTTTTCCCCAAATTTTCCCTGAGTTTTCCTGAATTTTTTCCGAATTTTCCCCAATTTTTCCCAATTTTTCCCAATTTTTCCCAATTTTCCCCATTTTTCCCAATTTTCCCCCAATTTTCCTGAATTTTCCCCATTTTTCCCTATTTTTCCCAATTTTCCCCCAATTTTCCTGAATTTTCCCCAATTTTTCCTGAATTTTCCCCTATTTTCCCCAATTTTTCCCTATTTTTCCCATTTTTCCCCGATTTTCCCCACTTTTCCTCAAGTTTCCCCAAGTTTCCTCAATTTTCCCCAATTTTTCCCATTTTCCCCCCATTTTTTCCCTATTTTTCCCCTATTTTCCCCAATTTTTCCCAATTTTCCTCAATTTTCCCCAAGTTTCCCCAAGTTTCCTCAATTTTCCCCAATTTTCCCCAATTTTTCCCATTTTTCCCCCATTTTTCCCCACTTCCCCCCAATTTTTCCCAAATTTTCCCGAATTTTCCTGAATTTTTCCCAATTTTTCCCCTATTTTTCCCCATTTCCCGCCAATTTTCCCCAATTTTTCCCTTTTTTCCCCAATTTTTCCCAATTTTCCTGAATTTTATACAATTTTTCGTGAATTTTCCCGATTTTTCCCCAGTTTTCCTGAATTTTCCCCAATTTTTCCCTATTTTCCCCCAATTTTCCTGAATTTTCCCCAATTTTTCCCAATTTTCCCGTTTTTCCCCAATTTTTCCCCAAATTTTCCCAAAATTTTCCTGAATTTTCCCCAATTTTTCCCTATTTTTCCCAATTTTTCCCAATTTCCCCCATTTTTTCTCTGTTTTTCCCAATTTTCCCCAATTTTCCCCAATTTTCCTCATTTCCCCAATTTTTCCCTTTTTTCCCCAATTTTTCCCAAATTTCCTGAATTTTCCCCAATTTTCCTGAATTTTATACAATTTTTCGTGAATTTTCCCGATTTTTCCCCAATTTTTCCCTATTTTTCCCCCAATTTTCCTGAATTTTCCCCAATTTTTCCCCACATTTTCCCAAAATTTTCCTGAATTTTCCCCAATTTTTCCCTATTTTTCCCAATTTTCCCCAATTTTCCTCAAGTTTCCCCAAGTTTCCTCAATTTTCCCCAATTTTTCCATTTTCCCCCCATTTTTCCCCATTTCCCCCCAATTTTCCTGAATTTTTCCCAATTTTTC